CCATATTTAAAAGGGCACCAACCAAAAACTACTGCGTAGAATTAATTGGAATTTTTCACACACAAGCCTTGCTATATGAGCTCTCAAAGCATATAAAAATTATACGGCTTAAATGTGATGTTGGGTGCAAAAGAATACAATTAAATTCTCTGTCGGGAAAAAACGAAATGACTTTCCGAACAACCCTATACATTAAAATATTTTTGGAATCTGTTACATGATCTCGTTTGCTAATTTTAATGTATAAGTAGGATTTATCATTAACGTAAGGATAAAATAAAAACGGTTTCATTTGAGTTCATATGCGTATTAACCGTAAAACTCAACGCGGTACCGTAGAAAAAGGTCGCTTTTTTTTAAGAACAATTGTGAACAAAACCGTTCCATTTTTAAAAGCCATTAAAGAACTCAACAGCAAGCCATGCAAGGTAACAATTCATCGTCGGTAAAATACGAACTTATTGACATAATTGCTTGTGTCGACCTCAAGGGCTAAATACACCGTAATATATTACTGATAATGTACTTAGAGCACACTATCCACATAGTTAGTGTCAAACTTTACTAGATTCCTAAATCATTAAAGTCCTTAAGGGGTTTTAAGATTAATGCAACTACTAACGTCCCCACACTGTACTACGAAGGCGTAGATGACCCTTCTTTTGAAATTTTGCTTTATTTTGAGTTGCAATCACCATAAATCATTTGATAAATATTACAACTATATTCGTTAACGTAAATACGAGACAAAACCTAAAAGAATCAAAATTCAGACAAACTTTTGATATAAGTATATTAAATCGGAATTTACAGCATTGGCAATTGCCTTAAGATTCTCATTCTGATGAATATCTAATGAAATCAAGTTGATTTAAAGTCCACAGTCTAATACTAGTTAAGAATGTTTGCCAACGAAGAAAAAAGTATTTACCTTCATTGATTAACTGCTGAAAAAAGAAATCTTTAGAGACTGACAAGTTAAGGGGAACTACGCTTAAAATATCACCCTTTTTTAAAAATCCCACTCCCATTATTCTGTTTAAAAAAATAAAGTTACTGGTGAGCTTGAAACAATGCAAAATCCTACTCGATTTTATTAATTAAAGTCATATGAATATCAGTTAGCCAGTCTAATTCACTGATAATTAAGAAACGTTTAAAATTATTGTGTAGGTGTATTAAATATAAAACAGAGCAAATAATAAGGAAGCAACTCTAATATTAGCTATGAATACAAAATTTGTATATGCTTATGATTTGCATGACAAATAGATGGAAAATCAGAAATTGCACTGTTCATTGTTTTGCGAACACGTACATTCAACATCTAATAAAGTTAAATTGAATGTTCGTGGTTACAACAGCCTCGCATCAATGTCAAGGCAACACAAAATTATCACGTTAATTGAATATCGATACCGAAAACTACAATTATTTTTTGTATATAAGCTCTACGAGTCATTTAACTTAATGACTAGAAGATGTTCAAGAATGAAGAATAATAATTTAATATTGAGGGGTTTACCACTATATAAATAACCCTCTGGCCCGCTGACAAATTATTTCATAAGAAATTATCGTACTTACAATATCGCTTAAACATACAAAAAATTATTGTGGGACAAGAACAACTTCCTCTGAAAAATAATAATTTAGAATTGGAGGATGTAGCATCCCATAAATAATCCTTAGACCCTCTAACAAATAATTCCACTGGTCTAACCAACCCTCATTCATGTGGTTGTAATCTAACTAGGTATCTAATAAATATTAGGTGTTGTAATTGTGTTTTTAGGTAGATATATACAATGGACATAGTGGTCCGACTGTCAAAGCAAGAATCAAAGAACATCGCGTTGGGAAAACTTAATTTTCCGAACTCTGCGGTCAATTTATCCATAACTTTCCGTTCTACATTAAGTAATGTTAAGGTAGACTTTTTACAAATTAATAACCTTGAGAAAAAATCTGACGGCCTAAAACGCCAACTCCTTCATTTCGTATAATTACAACAGAATAATGAGAAATCCTTGAAACCAGCTGAGCTTTCTTTTTTTTACTTTCAGAGGCACTAGTGGAATAGACATTGACCTAAGAAGAGTCGACATTGATCAATGTCCTCTACCGAAAGGCAGTAAGCAGCTCAATATCTTCGCTGCCTCAGACAAATGCAAGAAGAAAACAACTTCGGTAAGTTTCAAACTTTCAGAATTTGCCTAAGCAAAGATGGTTCAAGAAGGCAAGGCACACCACTAAAAGCACACTTTACATATATTCTTATAGTGGGTTTCACATTTAATTTGTTGTGCTAGTTTCTCGCGATTTCAGTGAATAGCGGGATGCTTTCCACTTGAAAAGTGGTCGAGAATGTTCTCAACTAATGATGGGGTTAATGAATTTTTAATTTTGTATCAGGTACCTACATAGTTTCCCATTTAATTAAATGTAGTTTTGTATTAACACGGACATATGCACACAGAAGTCATACGCATAGCTGATCCTGAAACACGAAATAGTTTCATAAACAAACCGTGAAGAGACAACTCCCAGTTGTGCATAACAAGTATGCATACTAGTGATAATTGAATTTTCTTGTAAAAGCTTAAATAATAGAAACACCTGGAGAATTGGTAAATGTAGTAGATGAATTATTTAATTCGCAAACCTGTCCCACCGACACAATGCTTGTTTACTCTAAATCGCAAGAAAATTGTAAAAAAGCATTTGATCAGAAATTAATTTCTCATAAATTTTACCTTATCGTGGTTAACTAAGGGCGATAATTTGATTCATGTAATGCCTGAAAGGCAAATATACCTAAGATACGATCTGATAACGTATCTTGTAGTAGTATGATAAACGTCAATATATTCTGAACTGGATAGAGTAATGAATCTTCATTTGGGACCTCTGCACATGTTAATTTCGGCTACATAATGCTGAGGGACGGTCCATTGTTTACGTCAATACTAAATTTACTACTACCAAGTTTCTTAATCTTATGAAGCAACAAGAACGATGTTATAGCCCGTTGGACAGGGTCTAAAGGAATACGTTCCCTTATGGTCTGGCTTCAATCCACAGTGCAAAAGTGTAGATACAATTGGTATTGTTAATCTTCTGAAAGCCCCTCGAACCTTGAATACATACAATTTCTTAAGGTACAAATTCACTATTAGAGTATAGAGAAGTTGCTACAAGTATAGTGAAGTCTACAATATTCGAAGCAATTTAATTAATTTAAGTGCTGGAAAGCACTTTGTTCATATCAAACTACGATTTTAATATTTAGATAAACATTTTACGTAATAAGATTCTCTCAACAAGCCAATTCTTCTAATGGTCGCGTCAAAAGCTTCTTCCTATTTCTAAAATTGTCAGCTATAAAAAATTGACGGTATTTTGAAGCAATTGTTGTTGTAAAACAATTGCACTTCAAAAAGTGTTTGAATAGCATAAACGACAAAAAAATTGAGCCAGTAACATGATAACGCATTCCCCTGTTAATGGCTTCTCAGACAAGGCATTTCATTAATCAAATTTTTGATTCCGCTTGTTTGCTAACGGCGTTTTCATAGAAATGGAAAACCATAAAGGACATCGTATAAACGAAATTGCCTCTCGCGTTCTATGTAAAGGAATCTCAAATTATCACGTCTCTTTGTCTTTTAACGTACATAATTTGGATGACTTTTGCTGGAACTGTCTTAATTTGTATGCAAATTAGACAATCCATGCATTAGAAGTACTTATTTTGATCTCCTCCGTGCAATGAGCATAAATCTAAAGCTGCGGTCCTCCTATACAAGGCAATAAATATACGGCTTATCAGAAATTTGCCATCACGTCTTATTCGTACAATTTACAGAGAGTTTTACTACAAAGAGAAGGACTCTAATGGGTACATTATCCATAAAGGAAAAATCGACAATTTATTTCGATAAAAGCTTCTCAAAGTTCTAAATTGTGAAAAACTGCTTTTATTACTCTAGTTTTTCTAATAACGAAAGCTTTTTGATTTTAATATTTCCATATAATAGTATAAACAATTTCAATATAACTAGGTAGGTACTACTTGAATATGTATTACTTAAATGTTCTTTTAATCTATTTTTTACAACCCGACTAGACTGTCCAATGTACAACGGATTACAGTCGTCGCAAAGACTTAGTGAAATACTACTACACTACATCTACACTGTTTAAAAAATCATTCTTTTGTTCTTTTTATTATTGAATTACAGGAAATAATTTTAATTCAATTTATTTATTTAAAACCTAATCCTAATACCCTGCCACTCCATTCCGTAATCCACTATTTTATCCTTCCAACCCAACAAATTTATCTTACACATCTAGGCAAATGCCACGAACACCAAGTGCTACTAAATCAATAAAATACGGTTTTACGTGAAATATGTACTGTCAATACATAAATTTGATAAAATTTACATACATCCCTAAACTATGTCATATCCATATCGCGGCTAGTTCGTTGAATCAGACGGTTAGCTTATAAAGTACATATATTTTCGACTCCACAACCACAAGTATAAACAAATTTTACGTACCACGTCCATACGGCTTACAAGCAAAAATATTCTGGTATCCCTTAGGGTAGCCTGTAATAAAAACTTTTTATACATCCTCCTATATGAAAAGACTAAGGCTTTTGCGGCCGGTATTATCAAAATAGGACTAAACTGTCTGGTCCTTCAAGAATTAAATTTTTTAAAAATATCACTTTAATTCTGGTCCTCTCAGTTTCATAAAAAGAATAGATCTTTCCATTATAAAACCAGTGCTGAATTTCAAGCTTGGAATTTTAATAGCCCCCACTAAAAATCCTCGAAATACTAATGCAGGCAAATGCTGCAATCTCATGTAATGTTTTAGTCGGAATTTTGCACGTTAAAAATGCAAAAAAGGCCCATTACCTACCTCGCTAAACGCTAATTCATGCAATAAGATTAAAAAAAAACTGCCTAATCGGTAAAATAGGCTGAAATAACGTTAAAGCAATTAGTTACTTTATATGTATAGCCGAGAAGAGGGAAGAAATGTAATGATTTTAAAACCACGTCCACAAAATCCAGGAACTGTGTATGTACATTGTACACATAATAGAATGTGAAGTAGAAGTTTTCAGGATAAAAGGGAATTTCGGATTTGACCATTTCATATATATATAAAGGTACCTTTTAGGTTTTACGCATAAAGGTTAAAACAAAACTGTAATGACTACTTTTATTTAACGAAATACTTTTACAAATCACAAAGCCGCTACGCTAAAACTCTGGTCATTCTTTTTAAGGATTAATATTAAAAACGTTTTTTTAATTAATACTTTAAAGCAGGTCACTAACATTTGAAAGCATTTGATACATACACAGCTGCCCTTTTGGTAATGCATATGTAACCATTTTCTACTCTACACAAAACAGTAAATTCTATAGTCGAAAAGTAGTCGTAAAATCATTTTAAAGAATGACATTTTTTTAAAAATGGTTGCTACTCTTTTTATACATGTATAGGTAGTCCATGGGGTATAGAAAGCAATTGTTTATTAACCAATTTATAACAAGCAACAATAACAAAGTTTAAATTAAATTAAAGTTTGGATGCTGACGCTTTTCTTGTATTTGAAAATGAGCTATAAGTAAATTGTATTTCTGCCTAAATTATTCATTTTCCTTAAAAATGTTTCGAGCAAATGTCATTTATACATAAAATGAACACGTGCAAAATTTTGCTCTTATTTTGTTCGACCTTCGTTTTGATACGAGAGAGAGAGAAATCCCCATGTGGGCAATGGAACTCTTTTATCGTTGCCTCCCTGAAAATGGTAACGCCGCGGCTGCTAATTAGGTTTGTTTACATTACAATAATGAAATGGTGCCCTCTGCTAGTCACTTTGTCGTTCGAGACGATATCAAAGCCAAGGTTGCCACTCCAAGTTCAGTAGCAATCAAATCAATGAACGGAAACAATGAATGCCGCGGTTGAATTGAACCAATCCCAAAAGTCCAAACTTAGAACTTAATCTAAACGTGTTCATTTTTTTACAACTTAATTAAAGTTACTTCGTTATCAACTTTATCGCCGATAGAAACCAATAAACCGTTAAAAACAATTGAAATTGCCTTTGTAATAAAATTCTGCGGCTCAAAACAAATAATTTCACTACCCTTTTCCCTATCGTTAAAAAAAATGAAAACCGCTCCAGATTAACAAACGATACCCAAACCATTAATATTGATGCCAATTTATATCTTTATCTTTCATTCTGCATAAAAAGCCTTCTAGGAAAAGTGAAAATAATAATTTGTCAACGCTCCAACCGTTCCAATTACCCGAACAACAAAGGAAGTCGACGAAAAACTTTTCTTACTATATAAAATTCATTTTGTTAATATAAAAACTTCAGCAATGCTTGAATGATGAGATTCCTATCGATCAATTGATCGTCTTCCAAAGAACTATCCCAGAAAAATATAGGTAGAATACAGACAACTTGTTATGATACGAAGTCTCTTAACGACATGCCTACCAACAAGTACTATTACGTCACAAAAATAATGATACAAATTTCAAGAAGTTCAAATACTTACACCACCATTATCTATCCACATATATCGGGTTGTTCGGAAAGTCATTTCGTTTTTTCCCGACAGAGGATTTAATTGTATTCTTTTGCACCCAACTTCACATTTAAGCCGTATAATTTTTATATGCTTTGAGAGCTCATATAGCAGGGCTTGTGTGTGAAAAATTCCAATTAATTCTACGCAGTAGTTTTTGGTTGGTGCCCTTTTAAATATGGAGAGCGATAAGCAGCATTTTCGACATATCTTACTACAGAAAGGGTAAAAATGCTGTTCAAGCCAGAAAGAAATTGACTGATGTGTATGGAGAAGGTGTGTTGACAGTACGCCAGTGCCAGAACTGGTTCGCTAAATTTCGATCCGGCAATTTTGATGTCGAAGATGCACCACGTTCGGGAAGGCCGGTTGAAGCTGATAAAGACGCGATAAAGGCATTAGTTGATGTGAACCAGCGAATAACAACACGTGAGGTCGGATTGAGGTTAAATTTATCAAATTCAACAGTTTATGACCACTTGAAAGGCCTGGGATTATCCTCGAAGCTCGATGTATGGGTTCCCCATGTTCTCACAGAGAGAAATCTGTGTCGCCGCATTGACGTCTGCGATTCGCTTCTCAAACGTCACGAAAATGATCCGTTTTTGAAGCGCATCATCACTCGGGACGAAAAATGGGTTGTATACAACAACGTCAAACGCAAGAGGTCATGGAGCAAAAAAGATGAACCGGCTCAAACCATTTCCAAAGCCGATATTCACCAAAAAAAGGTGATGCTGTCTGTTTGATGGGATTTTAAAGGAATATCGTTTTTTTTTTAGCTTTTACCGGATAACACAGCGATTAATTCGGAAGTCTACTGTCATCAGCTGGACAAACTGAATGATGCACTTCAACAGAAAAGGTCAGAACTAATCAACAGGAAAGGTGTAGTGTTTCACCAAGACAACGCGAGACCTCACACAAGTTTGGTCACTCGCCAAAAGCTTTTACAGCTTGAATGGGATACAATGCTACACCCACCATATTCTCCAGATCTGGCACCATCGGATTATTATTTGTTCCGGTCATTCCAAAATTTTTTAGACGGTAAAACCTTCACCTCAAATGAGGAGGTCAAAAACCTCCTCGATCAGTTTTTTGCCAGCAAACAGCAAAAATTTTATGAGCGTGGAATTATGCTACTACCAGAAAGATGGCAAAAGGTGTTGGACCAGAACGGTCAACATATAATTTAATAAAGTATTTGTTTATTATACGAAAACTGTCTTTCATTTCCACAAAAAAAAACGAAATGACTTTCCGAACAACCCTATAGATACCCACATGATTTAGTTTTGGAATAATGCATTACGTATTTCTCATGAAGTATTAATACGAAATGTACAGACCAAGTGTGAAAATGGTTTAGCTTAATCGTGAGTACTTAGTCGCCATCTTGAGTGTAACAGTTTACCTTATCAATTATGTAACAAGTTTTCCCTGGCACATGTCCAGGCCACGGGCGCTCTGATTATCGTAAACAGCATAAATCAAATTCTAAATTGTTAAACAGATTCAAAAGCATGGTTTAAGACCATTCATACCCAGTCGGCTTAAACTGAAATTATTCACAAACAAGAAACTACCTATTATGATAAAGTTTCGAAAATTATCTATACATAACTACACTTAACTTTTCACACTCATACTGTTCAATAATTAAATTTAATTTCCAACTTCTCTTATAACCTATATCCTATAGATTACCTACATAAAATAACAAAGAGTTCTTCGAACGGTGCCACTCTGTTAGATTTAGCGTCACTGGAGTTTGTCTCCCTGGGGAACCTTTTCGAGTAAAAGATGTTGCCAAATAAACCAGCTACATATCGGTACTTACTTCCTTTTACTTTTAGTCCTAATGATTTAACAGAAAAGGAAAATTTTGTGTTGAATCTTTAGCATCTTCTAGATTACAGCCCACGATGCGGTCTGTCATATTCGTTTATCACAAAAATTTCTACGCTGTCTAAAGAAGATACGAAATGAAACTGTTCTGACGCATTTCAATATTAATTTCCTTCCATTTCGTGAAGGAAATGCTAGACGCAGTTATTGATGGAAGGCACTGTATGTTTAAAGCATAAACTTCTTCTTACCTTCCATTTTAAATGAACTTAAATGCTTACTAAAAACGAGACAGTAGCTGTTTTATTACTTATTAGCATTATATGTACTTCTAATCAAATATATGCGCATGAAAATTACTTAATAAGGATACTAAAACCTACTAGTAGGTGCATTAGAATATTCTTTGAGAGTCAAAAGTTTATTTTCATGCACTGAACAACGGCGTACCTACAGGATGAAAGTGCTTTGTGAGGAAAATTATATGAAGGCCATTAATTAGAAAACTTTAACATAAACTTCACCAACGAGTACAGGATTACTATGTACAGTAAATCTATTAAATTTCAGTGTGTTCCTGTGTCTGGACTTGGATTTCGTAGAGGCAGCTACAAATGTGTTTGCAAGCCGGGATTTTATTTCCCAGATGTAAATGCCGAACGACGATATTACAACGGGACTGTTGTAGAAGAAGAATATGAAAAATTAATGCTGGTAAGTACAATGTACACTTACTTATTTCGTAACTACTAGCGATAAGTCCGAATTCTATGTATCATCATAAGGTCGTCAGTCTTAAGACTGGTTGGACACGCACCTCCACTCTTTCCTATCCTGAGCTAATGTTCGCATTTCCCTAAAACTAGAACAATCCATATCCTTAACTATTTGCGAACACTAATCTAATCTAGGTCTACCTCTACCCTTCCTAACTCCCGATTGTGCCTCTAATATGTCTCATGCCTGAAAAGGTGTCCTACTAACCTATCTCGCCTATTTCTTATTGACGTCTGTTTTTCTATTCTTTCTAATATCTCTTCATTTCTAATCTTCTCTATCCACGGTATCCTCATTATTTGCCTGTAACACCACATTTCAAACTCTTCTAACCTTTTCTTTTCCGCCGCGCCCACTGTCCATGTTTCGCACCCGTTCAGCGTCGTGCTCCAAACATACACCTTTAACAATTTTCGAATTTCTAAATTAACCGAAGTGACTTTTTTTATTGAAGGCGACTCGACCTGCGCTATCCTCTGCTTTATATCCCTACTACTCCTTCCGTCCTGACTTATCTGTCTTCCTAGATACCTGAAATCGATCACTTCTTCTAATTTTTCGTCTCCTATCTTTATATTCGCTCTTTCCCTACTTTTATGCTCTTTATACAAACTAAATATCACTCTTCTATCTTTGTAACTCATCCCTTCATTTTTAAGTATATTAACATCTTGTCCCATTTAAAATTGTCAAAAGTTTTTTCTAAATCTGCAGATCCTATGTACGCACTCTTTCCTAGGATTTGTAGATTTAAAAAATGCTTTTTCATTATTATAGTAATTAAGTTCATTTTACACATTTATTACTCCGTATATTTACAAAAGAATTTTCCGCTTAGGTACCTACAACTTTTATTCTCTATTGCAATTGAAATAAAAAAAATATGTTTATACAGGTTCTCAAGGAGTTAGCGTATTAAATAAGTGCACGCAAAGAAAGAGCTATGTTTGAATAGGAAGTTAGGTCCTTACTTTGACTAGGTACTCTATGTAAGAGCAGCTATTTCATCTTTCGTTTATTGAAAAATATGTAAAGTAAACGTAGATTCATTCACGATACATAATTTCAAAAAGCTATTGAACTACTCACACTGAGTACTAGGTACAAAAATCCAAAATAAATTTTGTTTATTTTGGTTTTAACACAGGAATATGTTAACGATATTCGGTGTTTAAAGTGTTTTTCTCATTATCCTACTTGCAATTTCATATTTAAATTACCTATTAGCAAAATATATGTCTATCGATTGTGACATAACGCTTGATTATTCTATTTTGTAGAGAAACTAATGATAAAATAAATAGAATACCTGGCCGTTTTGTGTATTTTAACCCGAAAAGTAGGTCAACAATGAAACGGATAATCATGGTTTTAGCAATTATAAACGTAAATGAAATTCATTAAAATCTTTTTGTTTACCTGTTGTTCAATGTATGTAGGTATTTATGCAAATTTGGAATTTTCAGTTGCATACATCTTCACTAATTAATTTTCGTGCGTAGCGAATGAAGCGGCTGTCACGCAAGTCACAATAAATATCAGAAAGCTCGTCGATGCAATACTGCAATTTTGATTTGAATATTAATTGTAAAGATTCATTATAACAAACACCCAACGAAAGTTCTGTCTACTCGACGGAAAACAACTGATATTATACTGAGAAGAAGGATTGTATCGCTTTGTACTTTCTATTTCGTATACTGCGATAAATATATTACAGCATAAACCGCAAATAAATGTAAAACAAAAATACTGGTATGCAAGGGAAGGGAAAGTAGGGGAAAATTAGAAGAAGTGGCCGATTTTAAGTATCTAGGAAGTCAGATAAGTCAGGACGGAAGGAGTAGTAGGGATATAAAGCAGAGGATAGCGCAGGATCGAGTCACCTTCAATAAAAAAGTCACTTCGGTTAATTTAGAAATTCGAAAAAGATTGTTAAAGGTGTATGTTTGGAGCACGGCGCTGTATGGGTGCGAAACATGGACAGTGGGCGGGGCGGAAAAGAAAAGGTTAGAAGCGTTCGAAATGTAGTGTTACAGGCGAGTGATGAGGATACCGTGGATAGAGAAGGTTAGAAATGAAGAGGTATTAGAAAGAATAGGAGAACAGAGGACTGTATGAAAGTCAATAAGAAATAGGTGAGATAGGTTAGTAGGACACCTCAGGCATGAAGGTCTAGTCAGAGACATATTAGAGGCAGAAACGGAGGTTAGGAGGGGTAGAGGTAGACGGAAGGATATAGGTTGTTCTAGTTTTAGGAAAGTGCGAAGATTAGCTCAGGATAGGAAAGTGTGGAGGTGCGTGTCCAACCAGTCTTAGGACTGTCGACCTTATGATGATAATGAAACCGCAAAATTTGTTTTTTTTTATTGGCCGAATCAAATGATTTCGTTGTTGTTAGAGTGGGTTATAGTCTGTCAAAGATTTTAGACTGAATGCTATTAGGCTAGATTCTACGAGATCCTAGTAAAATAAGTCAGCGGAAATTCAGGATAAAATGTAGGTACACCACCTAAACTACGAAAAAATTCCTATAGATCATGTTTTCATTATGTTGCAAGTAATTGAAACTTTATTGATAAATAATTACTCAATTAAACCCGCCTTTTATCTGAAGAAGTCCCTTAAATACGTAAATTTCAGATTTCCTGAAGATATCTAATAACTCTTGATACGACCTAACCCTTTTGTATTCCTGCCTGAAAATATCTGAAATCCTTCAGGAGCTTTTGTAATAATTAAATCAAATATTCTCGGCAGTGAATTCTTGTTTATAATTTTATAAATAATAAAATAGTATAAGTCCAACAATTTAAAGCTTTTGAGAGATATTACGCTTTTCAGAAAAGCAGGTGATATTTTCACACAGACGTGGTTGAAAACATATATCCCACACGTTTACCAAATCATGCATTTTCGCACGTGTGACATAAAAAGAAAAAAAATTGACAAAGAAATACGTAATTTTTATGTTCGGTGTCTTATATGTAAAAGTAAAACCCGAGTTATTTATGTAAATATTACGAATCTGTAGGTATTAGATATTTGCTGCGAACTATAAAATTTTATGTTTAAAAAGGACTTTACAAAAGTATAGTAATTTACACGCGGTCAAATATTAAGACTACCTAAATGTTTTTTATTTGTACAGTGATGTTCCTATTTGAGTAAATCTATTCCAAAGCTTTAACAAATAACAATCACTTATGAAAATCGATAATATTTTCATCAGCCAAAAGACGCTACTACTTTACATGATCAAAAAGAAGTTGTTCGCATAAATCTAAAACCTCAGTAGTTCCCAAAACTAATAAGCTACTTGAAATAGACAAATAGTTGAAGTAAAAAAATCAATATTACAAAATTGGTTGTTGGTAATGTCTTGAAACGCTGATTTATATTTCTCGATCCCTTAAATTGGAATGTAGAATACGTAACGTAATTTTTTTTATGTGTTTTCCTATTTCAACCTGAATGCTGTTCGATATTTTCTAAAGCAAATTGAATCTCCTAGTTCTGTATACATTCTCGTCTATTAGCTCAACAAATTGGTTGTTTATTGAATAATTCATAGACTCCTTTTAGGTAAAAAGGAAAAAAAAACGAAATCGAAATAGGAATATTTCTGAAAGCAATTTAATACAAAAGTACTACTTTAAATATTAAGTAATACGAACACAAAACGAAATCTAGTACCTATTGATAAATACTCTCATAAATTTCAATTTCAAAAATGTGTTTTAAAAATAACAATATTAACGTAAGAACTAAACCATTTCTATATTTATATATATATATATATAGGTACGACACAATACCAGTGTATTGTATGTATGGAGTTTCACGAAGTAAATTGTTCATTCTTAAATGTTACATTCCAGGAGCCAGTTTCATACTCTGACTAGTAACAATACCTTTGTTATGCTGTTGTGTTTCATCCTTTTGTTACTTACAAACAAAACGATTAAACTTCTCGCTTCCTTGAATTCTTCCCGGCTACCCAGTTCGTTCGTCATCCTCCCCATATTGTTCTTTTCAAAAAAAAAGAGATACTTGAATCAACCACTACTTCATCCCAATGTGAAAATATCACAGCAAATTTTATTCGTAGAAGTTTACTTAAGCTAACCACTTATCCAATGTATCGAGGTTAGCCAGAACAAATTGTACATGGGCTATGTTTTTAAAACCAAGTATATATGCATAAAGAGAAACTCTTTAAAACAGTTTGTTAGAAGTTAAAATTAATTTTCAAACTTTACAAGCCTTTCAAAGTTTCCTATCAGATAGTGAAGTAAGTAAATAGGAAAACAGTCAGACTTGCTACAAAAATAGTTAAGAAAAGTATAACAATTTCAAGAATTTCCAGATATTCCAATAACATTTTTGTAACTGTATTACAAAAATCTTGCTGTAGGTTTTGATCTTGTATCTTAGTCCTTGGTTTTGTGTGCTAAATGTATAGGGTTGTTCGGAAAGTCATTTCGTTTTTTTTTTGTGGAAATGAAAGACAGTTCTCGTATAATAAACAAANACTTTATTGATAAATAATTACTCAATTAAACCCGCCTTTTATCTGAAGAAGTCCCTTAAATACGTAAATTTCAGATTTCCTGAAGATATCTAATAACTCTTGATACGACCTAACCCTTTTGTATTCCTGCCTGAAAATATCTGAAATCCTTCAGGAGCTTTTGTAATAATTAAATCAAATATTCTCGGCAGTGAATTCTTGTTTATAATTTTATAAATAATAAAATAGTATAAGTCCAACAATTTAAAGCTTTTGAGAGATATTACGCTTTTCAGAAAAGCAGGTGATATTTTCACACAGACGTGGTTGAAAACATATATCCCACACGTTTACCAAATCATGCATTTTCGCACGTGTGACATAAAAAGAAAAAAAATTGACAAAGAAATACGTAATTTTTATGTTCGGTGTCTTATATGTAAAAGTAAAACCCGAGTTATTTATGTAAATATTACGAATCTGTAGGTATTAGATATTTGCTGCGAACTATAAAATTTTATGTTTAAAAAGGACTTTACAAAAGTATAGTAATTTACACGCGGTCAAATATTAAGACTACCTAAATGTTTTTTATTTGTACAGTGATGTTCCTATTTGAGTAAATCTATTCCAAAGCTTTAACAAATAACAATCACTTATGAAAATCGATAATATTTTCATCAGCCAAAAGACGCTACTACTTTACATGATCAAAAAGAAGTTGTTCGCATAAATCTAAAACCTCAGTAGTTCCCAAAACTAATAAGCTACTTGAAATAGACAAATAGTTGAAGTAAAAAAATCAATATTACAAAATTGGTTGTTGGTAATGTCTTGAAACGCTGATTTATATTTCTCGATCCCTTAAATTGGAATGTAGAATACGTAACGTAATTTTTTTTATGTGTTTTCCTATTTCAACCTGAATGCTGTTCGATATTTTCTAAAGCAAATTGAATCTCCTAGTTCTGTATACATTCTCGTCTATTAGCTCAACAAATTGGTTGTTTATTGAATAATTCATAGACTCCTTTTAGGTAAAAAGGAAAAAAAAACGAAATCGAAATAGGAATATTTCTGAAAGCAATTTAATACAAAAGTACTACTTTAAATATTAAGTAATACGAACACAAAACGAAATCTAGTACCTATTGATAAATACTCTCATAAATTTCAATTTCAAAAATGTGTTTTAAAAATAACAATATTAACGTAAGAACTAAACCATTTCTATATTTATATATATATATATATAGGTACGACACAATACCAGTGTATTGTATGTATGGAGTTTCACGAAGTAAATTGTTCATTCTTAAATGTTACATTCCAGGAGCCAGTTTCATACTCTGACTAGTAACAATACCTTTGTTATGCTGTTGTGTTTCATCCTTTTGTTACTTACAAACAAAACGATTAAACTTCTCGCTTCCTTGAATTCTTCCCGGCTACCCAGTTCGTTCGTCATCCTCCCCATATTGTTCTTTTCAAAAAAAAAGAGATACTTGAATCAACCACTACTTCATCCCAATGTGAAAATATCACAGCAAATTTTATTCGTAGAAGTTTACTTAAGCTAACCACTTATCCAATGTATCGAGGTTAGCCAGAACAAATTGTACATGGGCTATGTTTTTAAAACCAAGTATATATGCATAAAGAGAAACTCTTTAAAACAGTTTGTTAGAAGTTAAAATTAATTTTCAAACTTTACAAGCCTTTCAAAGTTTCCTATCAGATAGTGAAGTAAGTAAATAGGAAAACAGTCAGACTTGCTACAAAAATAGTTAAGAAAAGTATAACAATTTCAAGAATTTCCAGATATTCCAATAACATTTTTGTAACTGTATTACAAAAATCTTGCTGTAGGTTTTGATCTTGTATCTTAGTCCTTGGTTTTGTGTGCTAAATGTATAGGGTTGTTCGGAAAGTCATTTCGTTTTTTTTTTGTGGAAATGAAAGACAGTTCTCGTATAATAAACACATACTTTATTAAATTATATATTAACCGTTCTGGTCCAACACCTTTTGCCATCTTTCTGGTAGTAGCATAATTCCACGCTCATAAAATTTTTGGTCTTTGCTGGCAAAAAACTGATCGAGGAGGTTTTTGACCTCCTCATTTGAGGTGAAGGTTTTACCGTCTAAAAAATTTTGGAGTGACCGGAACAAATAATAATCCGATGGTGCCAGGTCTGGAGAATATGGTGGGTGTAGCATTGTATCCCATTCAAGCTGTAAAAGCTTTTGGCGAGTGACCAAACTTGTGTGAGGTCTCGCGTTGTCTTGGTGAAACACTACACCTTTCCTGTTGATTAGTTCTGACCTTTTCTGTTGAAGTGCATCATTCAGTTTGTCCAGCTGATGACAGTAGACTTCCGAATTAATCGTTGTGTTATCCGGTAAAAGCTCAAAAAAAACGATTCCTTTAAAATCCCACCAAACAGACAGCATCACCTTTTTTTGGTGAATATCGGCTTTGGAAATGGTTTGAGCCGGTTCATCTTTTTTGCTCCATGACCTCTTGCGTTTGACGTTGTTGTATACAACCCATTTTTCGTCCCCAGTGATGATGCGCTTCAAAAACGGATCATTTTCGTGACGTTTGAGAAGCGAATCGCAGACGTCAATGCGGCGACACAGATTTCTCTCTGTGAGAACATGGGGAACCCATACATCGAGCTTCGAGGATAATCCCAGGCCTTTCAAGTGGTCATAAACTGTTGAATTTGATAAATTTAACCTCAATCCGATCTCACGTGTTGTTATTCGCCGGTTCACATCAACTAATGCCTTTATCGCGTCTTTATCAGCTTCAACCGGCCTTCCCGAACGTGGTGCATCTTCGACATCAAAATTGCCGGATCGAAATTTAGCGAACCAGTTCTGGCACTGGCGTACTGTCAACACACCTTCTCCATACACATCAGTCAATTTCTTTCTGGCTTGAACAGCATTTTTACCCTTTCTGTAGTAAAACAGTAAGATATGTCGAAAATGCTGCTTATCGCTCTCCATATTTAAAAGGGCACCAACCAAAAACTACTGCGTAGAATTAATTGGAATTTTTCACACACAAGCCTTGCTGTATGAGCTCTCAAAGCATATAAAAATGATACGGCTTAAATGTGAAGTTGGGTGCAAAAGAATACAATTAAATCCTCTGTCGGGAAAAAACGAAATGACTTTCCGAACAACCCTATATATGATCAAAACAAGACAAGACCAAGATTACTTTTGTTTAAAAGTTGCAAACATGGTTATGCTAAAAATATATTTAAACCTTCGGTTGGTCTACAAAATGAATAATAATATTTGTCTTTGCTTTCTAATTGAACATGGTTTTTCCTCTTAGTTTTCCGATCTGATTTACGATTTGTAAAAGCATGTGGTATCGGTGAGGACGAAAGGAATCTTTGTAATCTAAAGTGGCCGATGACACATGAGAATCTTGGAAGTTTGTAGAAACTTATTGGTTTCTTGGTAGCTTTATTATCTCATAAGACGCATACGACTGAATTCGACGATACGTAATGGTAATTTATTTAAATTCAGTATTTTATATACTTCACATTCTACCTAAAGAGATTTTGGATCATTTCAGTCGCCACCTTAATAAAGTGAAAGATTCAAAAAGGAAGTTTACTTCTCAGCTGTCAAATTTATCATTCCGTGTTACAGTGCATTTTTCGTTAGGCGTTCAACCACATCAGCAACAGCTGGAATTTTCCTGTGTGCTATTTTCAATTTCGACTTATTACAAATATACAAAAAAAAGTTTTGTGTTGAAATATGGCCGACTTTGAAGCGAATGTCGACTGAGAAAAATCAATAGCTCAAGTGACTGTTTTCAACAAAAAAAATCCACCAAAAATCCAACACACCTCCGCTCATATTCTACAATAATTAATGTTTACAACTCCACACCACACCACAACATTTTCACGAAAGCAATAATAGGGTACACTTCCGACTAAATCGCGAAGTGATTGACAGCAAAATATAGTTTAAATTAAACAAAAAACCACACAAATCAACTGTTAACTGTAACAACAGTCACTAAAAATCTACAATGACTTTTAATAATAATTATGGACAAATATTTGTGCTTTACGATCTTCTAGAATATCACTATTTGCCAAAAATAATAAGTTCAGTAGTAAATTTTAGGTAGGTAAGTAGGTATAGTCGGCACGATCAAAATTGGCTAAGTCCAATTATTTATCTGTGATAATGGACGTATCTTCTATCTTGTTTCCACTTGGAACTGTAGTCATTTGCTACGTTTTGAACACGCCCTTGTTAAGTTAGGAAATGCTTCATGAGAAGTACAGACAGAATAAAAAGAGATAACCGAATAATAAGTAAGCGGACAGCGGTTAGAGGTTGCTTAGATACACGAAAGATCAGGGTCGGCTTTATAGCTTCCTGGTTTAAATAAGAGTCTTGCTTTAATAAATTCCTAAGAATGTAAAATATTTTTTAGTCCGATGCTGGCATTATGCTCAAATTCTGATTGTCTGCATCTCTTTCTGTTACACATTAACTATTAATGTTATTCCTTTTTCTTTATCAGTGTTCGCTGCAATTCCTACCTGACATCTCTTTTCTATGTTTACGATATTCCATTCAACGGAACCGAAAACTCTTTACTCTGTCCTGATAGATATATTTAAAAATAAAACTTGTTTTCTATTTATTTTCAGGGCCAGGAAAGCAAATATGCAACAGCAGGAACTTTTGAGTGCTTTCCTTGCGCTGAAGGATGTGAAACGTGTGAAGATGATCATCCCTGCATTGTGGCTCTGAATTGGATGATGCGTACTGCAATACTAATACTATCTTGTGCCGTTATATGCTGTTTACCTGTGGTAGTCTTATTTACTTGGAAATATGGGAATGTGAAGGTAAGATTAAATTTTTATTCGTTCATAAATGTATTCAGCGTAAAACAGCTCGGGTTCTTTAGAGAAAATGTAACTGTAAAACGATATTTTGCGAAATGACGTAGGAAACGTCAAAGGTTTTCTCAACGCGAGAATAATTCCCTTCCGTCGTGGAGGAATAGTTTAAAATAATGCAACTGTCGACAAATTAAAATTTCTACGGCATACAAAGTCACTAGAAAATCTAAAATAAAAATCTTATAAGTAAAACTGCTATTTCAATTTTAATTCTAAAATTCTTACGTGTACTCATAAACAGTGCAAACTTCTTAGTGTTTACTATTACCTTATATTTTTAAATTCCTTGGGTACAGAAGTACTTTTACTTCATCATCATCATCATAAGGTCATCAGTCCTAAGACTGGTTGGACACGTACCTCCACTCTTTCCTATCCTGAGCTAAACTTCGCATTTCCCTAAAACTAGAACAGCCCACATCCTTAACTATTTGCGAACAGTAATCTAATCTAGGTCTACCTCTACCCCTCCTAACTCCTGTTTCTGCCTCTAATATGTCTCTGACTAGACCTTCATGCCTGAGAAGGTGTCCTACCAACCTATCTCGCCTATTTTTTATTGACTTCCATAGAGTCCTCTGTTCTCCTATTCTTTCCAATACCTCTTCATTTCTAACCTTTTCTACCCACGATATCCTCATCATCCGCCTATAACACCACATTTCGAACGCTTCTAACCTTTTCTTTTCCGCCGCGCCCACTGTCCATGTTTCGCACCCGTACAACGCCGTGCTCCAAACATACACCTTTAACAACCTTTTTCGAATTTGTAAATTAACCGTTCGCGAGCATAGAAGTGACTTCTTTTTATTATAGGCCACACGACCCTGCGCTATCCTCTGCTTTATATCCCCACTACTCCTTCCATCCTCACTTATCTGACTTCGTAGGTATCTAAAATCAGCCACATTTTCTAATTTTTCGTCTCCTATCTTTATATTCGCTCTTTCCCTACTTTTTCTTCCCTTGCATATCAGTATTTTAGTTTTACTTTTATTTATTTTTATACAGTACTCATCTGTCAGTACCGCTTTCATTTTATTTGTTTAGAAATTATTTACGTTAATTGTTACTAAATGTGAATCGCGTATATATTAATAATTTGTACGCGTTGATATTCAAAATAGATCCCCAAATGTTTCTCGTTTTGTGAATTGATTAGCACCAATTGATGCTAATTGCATGCAAGGATTGGGAAATTTGTCGAGAATGCCTGGTTCATACACCTTTTCGCCTCTTGCCGTCTCGATTGTGGTATCTGATACATATTTAACAACCCATGCCAATAACCAACGTAAGCCCGACTTCTCGTAACAAAATTAAATTCACCTCCAAAAGCCAGCCCTCGACCTGGACTAAATAGCACTGCTTAGTCGAAATTTATTGTATTTATTCATCGACAAAATCGTAGTTTGACAGTTTTTTCGATTCCTGATAGGCTATTATTCAAATAGATGATCCTATTAATCTTAAAAAAAAACTATTGTTCTAACTTGAGAAGCAGTAACGACCCGGAGTGGTCCACATAATTTCACATAATCTCACAATTTTCATCACATTACGTTAACCGCGGAAACGCATTGTCCACTAAAAAAGCAACGAAATTCATTTTGTCAATTTGTCACTACCACTGTAGGCTATGAGCACAGTAAAAGACTTGCTCACCTATTAGGTATTGTGTGGCATTGATGTCGCTCGAAATGCAGTTTCCCCATCCCAAATGTAATTTTAAAGGCTAAAATGATCAATAATTTCCTTTGCTCATTCCTTCTGCGTCGATCAGCGTAATAATTCGTTCGCTTTTACATTTACTTCTATTTACTATGCGTAAAGGTAATATGTGCTCATCTTTCTTTGGTGAAAATGAACACCACACAAAGTCTCTACGAACTACTAACCCGCTTCCAAAATCTAAAGAAATAAATAATTTAATTGGTACGTAACGTAACTCTTTCAATTTACAATTTAATTAGTAGTAATACAAACTGAGTTCGAAATCTGACATCAAGCTTACTGAGAAAGCTCTTTGAAAGTGATCTAGACGACTGCTTACATGTATACTACAAAACACCTTTCATTTCATCCCTTATTACAAACGCGAGCGGTTAATGAGAGATCACAAGAGAATTTACCTTTAACCGTTCGGATTATAACATTTAATATTAAACTCACTTTCGAAAAGTTTAAAAATAAAATAATACAGTAACTTTATTTAGCATTTGTAAGACCCTAAGGAAGCACGCAATAATAAACAAAACTAAAAAAGGAAAGCCTTCACCGAAGGAGGTTTAGCCACTTCCTAAATTGAATATTTAACATACATAAGAAACATTAGATTGCAGGAAAAACATCTTTCTGGTACTCGGATTCGGGCGTTTTTTGGTAAAGGCGCTAAATGACTCGTTTAAAGGAATTAGTTATTAGATAGTAGAAAGCACCACAGTTTTAACCTGATTGAATCGTAAACAGAGATTAACTTTATTCGATAAAGCGAAGTGTTTTCTGAATAAAAAGCTCCGAATGAAATATAAAAGCTTTAAGTAAAATGAATTATTTACTCCGTCTGTATATCTATTTCTAACTTTCTTTTATTCATTATATTTGGTTTGCATTAAATATTTCCCTTAAGGGTCATAACTTACAATGATTCTTACCGAAAATGGAAAGGTAATGAGTGGGAGTTATCCATTATCTACCATTTTTCTAATGATGCCCTAACAAGGAGAAACGATCTCACGCTTTACAACGAAATAAGCCACGAGCTCGTTGCTACAACTTTTATCAGTTTTTTAAAAAACTGTTATCCATATTTATCACATTCCGTAAAGAAAGACAAATGCAAAGTTCATGGCTTTTAGCAACAATATTAAAATTTATTACAAAATGTAAATATTTTCTAGCTAAGGATGAAACAGAGTAGCGATGCGTAGAAACGAAGATAGAAAAATAACAAGAGAACGTGTCCAAAAGTGTAAATGTTTGCCAAAGACAGGATAATATAAACAACAATCACAACAAAGCGAGGTTAGCCATTGGGAGATCTAACTTTTTCAGTTAATGTCAGAGCCCCAACTCAGAAAAACTTCCGAAAGACTTCTTTATATGTACATTCACTAAAAGCGTTGGAAATCTCAAGTGGCTTTTTCCGTAATTTTATTTCACTCTGTCGAAATTCTTAAACTGGCGTTTGTTTAAGTGCTTAAAACGTATTAATTAAAATAAAATACTACTTAAAGACATTACGATTGTTATTATGGATACATTAGTGCAAATACAAAGGTATCTTAATGGAATTTTGCCGCGGAATGTAAACCATGATGGAACAAACTTCATTCTCTCCATTATCTGCTCCTGCAGGTGAACTAATTCAAAATATGACTTACACCAGCTGTCTTGATAAACCGGGTGGGTTAATTAATTCCGTAATTATTTTAAAGTGGCCCGACGTTATCGTGGCATTCTGATGACAACGAAAATTACAATTTAAAATATGTCTCAATTTTTAAAAGTTTTAAACGGCCAATTGCAAAGGGTTAAAAGTTAGAACGTCGACTTTAAATTAAATACGAATTGCAGAAGTTACACTACTTGCAATAATTTAGAACTATCGGATAATTGTATTCATTATTCATTAAGTTGGCCGACAAGTTAAATAAATTTAATTTTTGAAGATTTATTAAAGCTGCGATGTCTTCTCAATTTTTTCATCCTTCATCGTCATTCTCAATTAAAAAAGTTAATCCCAACTTAACATTACACGACTTAATAGAGGGGTAGAAGTAGAAGATAAAAACAGACAGCACAGCGTGCTATGCCGACATTAAAACAAATTTTGTGGCAGAAAAATTTCGTAAGGTGTTTAAAATCAAGTTAATGTAGAAAGAATCTACTTAAATCCAAGTAGCAAGCACATAAGTACAGAAAATTACTTTTCCAGTGGGAAACTCATTTCTACGTTAGTATAATGGTTAATTTACAAAATTGATTATCTTTTTGGCAGCTAAAGCTCCAGACGCAAAACAAATAAAAATCTAATTATGTTAAGGTTATGAAAGAAAACAAAACTGAAAAATAGTAATGCATTACTTTTGATAAGAATTTAGAAACGGTAATGTAGCTTTAATATGTGGATCGTTGGTCACATCTGGGACTTAAACATCATCTGTCACATATCTACCTGTTACAATTACGAAATTTTGCTAATTCTCTTAAATCTTGTGAGCGCTTTAAATACGCTTCACTCTTCAACTTCCGGTACCTTTAAATTAATTATGTAAATGTCTATTAGGATTGTTCCTGTATTAATTTAGACCATTTTCTCTTTTCTCTTGAAACGTATAAGTAAAGTAAGAAGTTGATTATCTGGGACTCGGCGGATGTTATTTGTAACGATTCCAATCGATAAAGCCGGCGCAATATCGGCGAATCACTTTCCAGGGTCATAAACCATACTCTAGATGACACATATACCATCGCGTAACAAAAGAAATTCGATAAAGTTCGAGAAAACTGAAGAAATATCAAGATAGTTCGATTACAATATAAAGCAAGCCGAATATAACCAGTCGATAAGTGACAAACTATCATAATTCGATGTCAGACAAATAAGCAGTAGTTTAAATGCCAAGATAGTGCAAAATAAATTAGTTATGTAATAAATAAATAAATAAGTTACTAGAAAATTTGTTGCATTATTTTTCATATGTGCGCTCAAAGTAAATTTAAAAAGCACAGACGAAATCAAACTAAACCAGAGAAAGTTTAAATAGATCTTCCACCTTATATTATTCTTCCTTCCTAAATTGAATATTTAACATACATAAGAAACATTAGATTGCAGGAAAAACATCTTTCTGGTACTCGGATTCGGGCGTTTTTTGGTAAAGGCGCTAAATGACTCGTTTAAAGGAATTAGTTATTAGATAGTAGAAAGCACCACAGTT